AGGCGGGTACGCCGAGGTATACCAAGGGCTATTACCCGAGGGGAAGCTCATCGCGGTGAAACGCCTGACGAAAGGGACTCCGGAGGAGAGAGCTTCCGATTTCTTGTCGGAACTAGGGATCATAGCTCATGTAGATCATCCAAATACCGCTAAATTGATCGGCTGCTGCATCGAAGGCGAAATGCATCTCGTTTTCCGGCTGTCTCCCCTCGGAAGCCTCGGAAGTCTCCTCCACGGTTCGGTCCTAAAACCCTTCATCAAAACATTAGGAAAAACGTTATGATCCGATCCGAATTTCACCGATGTAATAGTTTCCGGGACCAAATTTATCGGCAGGACCTTCTAAGGATAAGCTGGATTGGAGCAGACGGGTGAAGATCGCGCTCGGGATCGCGGACGGGATTACATACCTTCACGAGAGTTGTCAGAGACGGATCATACATCGAGACATCAAAGCCGATAATATTCTCCTCGCCGAGGATTTCCAGCCTCAGGTAACACTCGCATTAACTTCACGTTGATTTGCCCCGAAAACCGTTTGATAGAACGTTTTGAGATCGAATCGGTTCGATCTTGATTTAGATATGCGATTTCGGGCTGGCGAAGTGGCTCCCCAAGCAGATGACGCACCACAATGTATCCAAATTCGAAGGCACATTCGGGTATGGCCGGACACAATAATCCAAATTCCGAATACACGACTATTACATGATCATCGATTTTGATACAAACCGGTTTTCAGCTACTTCGCACCCGAGTATTTCATGCACGGCGTCGTGGACGAGAAAACCGACGTCTTCGCGTTCGGAGTTCTTCTCTTGGAGCTCATCACCGGACGCCGAGCTCTCGACGACTCTAAGCAAAGCCTCGTTTTATGGGTGAGCAGCCTCGTCTTACCAAAACCGGTGTTTTGCCCGGTTATTGAATCGGTCTGGTTTGGTTTTGGTTACGAAACGGTTACCGTTGTTTTCGTCTTTTGGTGCGGTAGGCGAAGCCGTTGTTGGATAAGAACGAGCTGACCGAACTGGTGGATCCATCACTCGGAGGTGACTATAACCGGGACGAGCTCGACCGGTTAGCGTCTACTGCCGGTTTGTGCATCGACCATTCCCCTCTCCTTCGGCCTCGGATGAGTCAGGTATGCACGATCTCGTGACACCGATCGCAATGTGGCTGGGCTAGCTCGGTCTCGTAATTGGAAGACTCAAACTGAATTCCTGTGCCGAAATCCGGTTACACTTGCACAGATAATTGGTTTGGTTTAGTTGAACCGGTTCTTGACCGGTTTGGATTTGTTTTTCTTCAGGTGGTGGCATTACTACAAGGACAAGAATGCGGAGCCACGAGTCCGAGGGAAAGACAGAAGACGTTACAGCGAACATATTCGGAGGAACTGCTTGACGCGCAAGAACACAACGCCACTAAGTATTTGAAAGATCTCGATCGATTTCGTGAGATCGCCTTGGCCTCTTGATCCCCCAAAAAACAATATTAAAATTAAAAAAGAATTATTGTTTTTAGATTTTATTTGAAATGTAAATATCCAAAGGAAAATAGTTTTTTTTTTCTTTGTTTATACCGAATCAATCGAAGATTTACAAATACTACGAAAACAAAAAACTAAAGTTAAAAATTCAAAATAAAACTTATGTCTTTAAAGATAAAAACCCACAAAAAAAAGGAGAAAAACATTTAAAAAAAAAACCTTCTGGTGCAAAGTTTTAAGCTTTTTGATTTCGTCCGGTTTACTCTGGCTCATCTGAATCCCGGTATACTCGCTTGGTTATCTTCCAATGATTTAATTTAATCCACTCGGACCGATATCCAAACCTTCGGAAGGATACAGAGGGTTATCTTATGACACCCAACAACGGAGTCTAAACTTCCATAGGAACTCATTTAAATATATTTTAAGAAAAATATAATCGAAATCTATCCCGTTAATTACAGATCATAGTTCCATATATATAAAGATAACATTATATATATATACATACACGACCGTATCATGTAGCAACACAGACGAAGTTAATTATGCTGAAATTTCAGCAAAGTAAAACGCTAAAAGCTAAAGCCAAACATACTCCACGAAACACTGGTTTCCCCAACTTCCTTGAACGCACTCGCTCTTCTCTCCTGCTTTGCTTTCAAGAAGCCAGCGTTTGGCGGTCGCAAACGCAGTCGCCGTAAAAACACCCATCACCTAATTAAACACCGTAAGGTGTTAACCCACCATTACTACTATAACAGCTTTCCGAAACAACTAAAGAGAAATCTCAGGCTTCCCCTCCGTGGACATGGATCAAACCCGTCTGTTAGCGAAAGGTCGATGAGCGATCACTGGCGATCGGCGTTTACAAACGCGTTTATCTCATCCATGACGGTGTGGAAGTGGTTGTTATTTGGTAAGAGGTAGAAACCAATCGTCGCTCTCTCCAGATACTGAAGCTTCACTTCTTGACCTGCGTTTCTCAGCCCTCGGACATAAGCCAGTTGCCAGTCTTGGATCAGGTCCAAGCCCGCGACAACGACTAGACTCTTCGGGAATTTCATGCCCTCGAGGCTCTTGCCTCGTGGCCCGAACGGGTTGCAGGCAGGATGGTCTCTGTCTTCTCCGTCGGGAAGAAACGCTCTCCAGTACCAATCTCGGTCTCTGAGTGTCACAAAGTACTTCCCATCTAACCTTTTCTCGGACTCCGTCCTTTCATTCCCTCCAAACATAGGGTTCAACAGAATGTTACCCAAGATTTCGATCCCCGATTCTTCGGACGCCCTTAACGCAACGTTGTGAATGATGTTACCTCCAGAACTGTCGCCGGCCAAGAAAATATGAACCTTTGAGTCTTTCTTGCTCTTGAGCCATGACCTTGAATTGACCCATTGAAGAGCCGTCCAGCCGTCATCGTATGCACAAGGGTACGGATTCTCTGGCGCACGGCGATAATTTACGGATACGACAATGCAATGGCATACACCGACAAGCCTGCGGCAAAGGGTATCGTAGATAGAACTGTTCACAGAGGAATGCGTGAAGCTTCCTCCGTGGAAGAAGAGGATAACAGGTAAAATCTCGCTGTCAATGGGTTTCTCGAGATCAATCAAACTCTGCTGATGGTCTCCGTTAGCAGGCCTGTAAACCCGGCAGAGAAGACTAGTGGCTCGATCTATGACAACGTCAAACGAGAAGACGCCGTCGACCGGATTGGCGTTTGAAGGGACTTTACGGTCGAGAAACTCTGCTAGGTGACGGTCGAAGGTTCCATCAGGGCGGCGTAAGATATGGTAAGCCACCTTAAAGTTGGAGATCAGAACCCATGTATTGAGCGGAACCACTTTCTGAAGAAAAAAAAAACAGAACACGGAACCCAAAAAAAAAAATAACTCAGTTGATTCAACACTTGGCAGCCATACAAATTTACAATCCCTAGTTTTTGAGACAGGCAAATCTGACCATAAAAGCTTAACTAGTTCACTATTCAGACAGGGAACCAATTAGAGATCAACTAAAATCCAATGGACTCGAGAGCTGTGCAGAAGCAAAGAAATCAAAATCTGAAACTTACCAGAAGCCAAAACCCTAGTTAAAGGAATCAGATGGAGCCATAACAGTTTAGAGGAGAAGAATTCAGAGAGACAATAAGCGGAAACTACGCGAAAAAGCAAACGAAAACCGAAATAATAAACAAGACCCATCAAGCAACGACACGTCTCATTGCACGAAAAGCCCTAAGCTTTGATTAAAAAGCAGATATATCCAATCCAACCAAATCCAATAACGAATTCTACAGAAGTTCGTGACGGAAAATAAATCATATGAACACCATCAACAACCCAATGAAACCAAACACCGAAACAGACCCATGAACTCCAAATCAAGTCACGAAATTGACACAAAAATCTACACCAGCGAAGAAGAAATCAATCACCCAGAGAGGAAACAGGAAGAACCCAACAAAATAAAAAGGGCATCACCTTGCTCTCGCTAAGGTTAACTTGATCGCTCCCAGCCATGGAAAAGCCGCTATTTTTAACCAATCAAACAGCACAGAAACACGAAAACCCAGATCGAAATTTCCCGAAACTCCCTTCGACTGATTCGGCAACGACAACAGCACCCAAAAAAATTTCAGACGAGAAGGGCAATCTCAGATTTCTAAACGGGTCTCGATGAGGTAAATCTCTTTCTGGAAATGGAAAGATACCTCCTTTTTAAACCGCAGATAAAATGGTTTAACACCTTATCACCCCGCATAAGCAGAGGCTTAATTAATGACTGACATAATACCGCACAGTGTTGGCGGATAAGATCGTGGCGCAGGTTAGTAGGAACGTGACCGAAGCGGATAAAGTGCGCCTGCGACTCTTACGCGTCGGGGAGGGACTAGGGTGTGACGACTTTGGGCCTATAGAAAACAAAAGTGATATTTTTCATTTCCCAATAATAAGATATATATAAAAAACATTCCATATTAATTTTAATATCAAAAGTATTTGAAATTAGGGCTAACGTTGTGGTATTCGGTTTAGGTTCGGTTTATAAATAGTTTGGTTCGGTTTTTTTAGTTTTATCATAAAATTTATTCGTAATTTTAAAATTTATTATAAAAGAATTAATGATAAACTTTAAAATAAAAGCCAAATTGCCATATTGCCCTTTACATATCACGGAGAGGGGAAAACGAAATAATGTAATCCTTTGTTTTTGGCAAGTCTTCCATGATTCATGAAAAAAACCTTGCAAATCTATTATACGTGTTACAAAAAAAAAACATGTTATATATAACGTAGCGACGTATGCGGAATAATTTATTAGTTATTATAGTTTCTTGACCCCGAACATTATAAAATTAAAGTTGATTTTTATTAATTAATTAAAATAATTTAAATTAAGACGATATTTTAAATTTTTTTATGCTACCGATAAGGAAATGTTCTTTCTTCAAAAAGTTAAATCGGTATAATATATTTGTAACAGCACCATTAGGTTTATTATTATTATTATGTCGTTTTTTTGTAACGTCGGACGAGGAAGATGATAAAGACAAAAGGAACGGAACGAGCAGAGAGAGGGTTGGGTCGCGCCGCATGCACCCCCGTAAACACGTGGGGTTAAACGGGGATCCGTTCCTCACCGTTTTCTCGTATCGAAATTACTCTTCTGTCCTTTTCCCTGGTCACCACCCACACAGACGATTAAAACGTAATATATCTTTATAGATGAGGGTAAAACAGTCTATTCAGAAAGAATAAACAGAACGGACAAATAATCAAACCTCCTGTCTATCTTTTATTCTCTATCAATGTCACCATCGCTATAACCTCCAAGGGTCGGCGAGAAATCCCCCTTTTTTTTCATATAAAATGTGATGTAATAATAATACAACGAAATAAAATAAAATAAATTAAAAACTCAGATATTTATTCAATTTCAGTTTAGTTTTAATCAAGGTATTTTAAAACTTTGAAATTAATATACATCCCAAAAGAAATCCGAGAATATTTATATGTGTATCTTTTTTTGTTTAATGGGCCTTGAAGGGTTTCCGAAATTGTGAAACTCTTTTTGAGTTTTGTCATGGGTATGTCAATATGTTTTTTTTTTTCCGAATTAGATATACATAACAAAATATACGGATATGTAAATTATTGAAAAAAGTATATAAAAAATGGGGTTTTGGAAAGATTAGGGTTTTGGTTATGGAGAACAGCTTTTGGCTACCTCTTTTGTTTTTATTATTATTATTATATTATTATAATATATATTTGGGGTTCTGATTTCACCACCTCATCTGTCTCTTCCCTCTTTTATGTATTTTGTCCTCTTCTCCATTATTTTCTCGTATCTTCTTGGCCTTGGCCTTATCCTTTTCCATATCTCATACAAAAATCGTTATATTCATTTGTGTGTATATATATTAAGTCGAATATTTTAGATTTTTTTTTTTTATTTCGGATCATTTATTTTCAAATATTTTTATATTGCATGATAATTATATTCACAGTGTTTTTTATATATAGGTTATATACTTTTTTAAAAAAATTTGTTTTTAAATCATTTTTATATTCTTTCTAAAAATGAGGACGGGCGTTTCAGCTTCGGAACCGGACCGAACCGAACTAAAAAAATGGTATTTTTTTTGATTCGAAACCGTCTTTAATTCCGGTATTATTTTTAGAGAACCGAATTTTTTCGGAACCGAACCGAACTTTAAAAATACCGAAAAACCGAATATTTTTAAAGGAAATCTATCTTTTTTTTAATAAAACCCGGAACTGAACCGAACCAAACCGAGATCGAAACCGAACCGAACCGAATACAATATAAAAACCGATTAGTACCTATTTTTGTAAAACCGAAAAAAACGAACCGATCAATTCTCGTCCCGAACCCGAACCGTTTCCCAAAACGATCACCCCTACTAAAAATTATCTCTAATATATTTATAATTTCAAATATTTTTATATTGTATGATAATTATATTCACTGTATTTCTTATATATAGTTTACATATATTTTTTTTAAAAATTCGTTTTTAAATCATTTTTGTATTCTTCCAAAAATTATCTCTAATATATTTTCTATTAAATTTTATTTAAACATAATTATAAATTATTAGATTCCACTTTACCTGTACAAATCAAAATATACACAATTAATATATATTTGTGTGTGTTACATTTTAATTGTAAATTTTTGTATCGTTGACGGTTCGTCTCTTTGGGCATTAGCTTACTGAACCATTTATTTACGTAAGCCCAATAGCATAGAAAAAGCCCATAAAGCCCAAAATTGCTCAGATTTATACGACATCGTTTAATTCCAAACCTGCCATCACGGGTTCATTATACGACTATCCCAGATTCCCAACACTATTTATTTTTTCCCGCCAGGCGCGCCAAATTCGTGCCACGCTGGCAATCCTCGCCAAAGTTTTCAGGCCAATCAGCTCGCATCGCTTGCACTTATATAATGCGTACGTACGCACTTGTGGGGATTCATCAAGCGTCTCATCGTCTTCTTCTTCGTCGATTTTGTCCCCAAATCTTGGTGTAGGGATTTTCCGTCGATATTATATTGTCGAGGATTATCGAAGATGAGTTCTACTGGTGGTGCTGGATCTACTAAAGGAGGGAGAGGGAAGCCCAAATCGACGAAGTCGGTATCCAGATCGCACAAAGCGGGGCTTCAATTTCCTGTCGGAAGGATCGCGAGGTTTCTGAAGGCAGGAAAGTACGCCGAACGTGTCGGAGCCGGCGCTCCGGTTTATCTCTCCGCCGTGCTTGAGTACCTCGCTGCGGAGGTAAGAATTTTCGTTTCTTCTGATCCAGATCGTTTAATTCTCATTTGTTGTGATTTTCTCGGGGGAATTTGGAGATTTCTCTTGATTAAAACTGGAGATCCGATTGTGTATTGATTAAATTCGAGGATCCTAAGCGATTATCTGCATCTGGGGTTTGAAATGACGAATCGAGATTATTTTGTATGTCCGATACTCTTCTTCTTATACTCCGATTGTCTTCATTTGCGATTAGGTTTTGGAGCTTGCTGGTAATGCTGCTAGAGACAACAAGAAGAATAGGATTGTTCCGCGGCATATTCAGCTTGCGGTGAGGAACGACGAGGAGCTAAGCAAACTTCTTGGCAGCGTCACCATTGCTAACGGAGGTGTTTTGCCCAATATTCACCAGCATCTCTTACCCACAAAGGCTGGCAAAGGAAAAGGCGATATTGGCTCGGCTTCTCAAGAATTTTAATTTGTTCCCCTTTCGTTCGTTCTTGATGTAGCATATATATAGTTTTTGCCTTGTGGGTCATGAGAATGCGGAATTTGAACTTCGAATTCGAGTCAATTGAATCAATATTATAATTCTGCTCTTTGATCTCCTAAATTCTTGATATGGGTTTTTGATTACATGATCATAGTGCCATGGTCTTGGTTCTGATCAATCCTGTTTGAGACTTGGTTTTTTTCTGCCATTGCTTGGGTTGAAACTCGTCCCTTCAACGAGTTCTTGAACCTGAGCCGTGCGTAAGCATAAAGCACATACTTTGCATGGTCTCGGAATACTTGATGAGAGTTTTTGACGAAAATATCTGCGGAACGCTGAACGATGATGGTTTTATTATTCCTTGGAGCGGTATTTCTTATCCAAAAATGTGTGGTTGATGGTCTTTGCAGCAACTATCTCCACCGTTGGGGTTTCTGTTCTCATTTGGTGAAATTTTCATCCAATCTGCGATCTGGGTTGATGGCAGTGTTGACTTATAATCTTGCAATATCTTCATGTTCAAACTCGCAGACGTATCTCCGCAACAGTTATTACGGGAACATAGTTGCTTCATCTGAAACAGGAATCTCCAGTAGAAAAGCATTGGAGCAAGTGGATAAGGAATTGTCAAGAGGCGATGAGAGAGCCGCACTTGGTCTTGTCAAGGACCTTCAGGGCAAACCCGGTGGACTTTGCTGCTTTGGCGCTGCAAGACAAGTATGCATATTCATATCATCTTCCAGGTTTTCACTTTTCTCCATTTTTTCCTTCATGCCCGGAAGGATTCAGACACTGGTGGGAATTGAAACTCAGATCTCCGTGTTGATTTCCTAATCCTTGTTATGGAAAAGATTTGAACTTTCCTTGTCTCTTGCATAATTTCTTACCCTTAAGTTGATTATATGCATTTCCCTGCCTTTTCAGTCATAATCTTATGCCGGTTTGGATGGGTTTTAGGCTGTTTATGTCGAATCGAATCATACTATATGAGCTTGGATTTTTTTCCGTGAAACGCATTATATATGTATTCAATCTTCTGAAACCGGTTAATCTTTGATTGATGGTCGTGGAAACAAATCTTTGCAACAGAATCTCTCATCTGTTTTTTTTTTTCCTGATTTCTTGTCCTGTGGGGTTAGGTGCCTCAAAGACTCTACACATTAGATGAACTGAAACTGAATGGAATCAATACAATGTCGCTTCTCTCACCAACAGATGCAACCCTTGATTCCGTCGAAAGAAACCTGCAGATTGCTGCTGTTTCAGGAGGACTAGCCGCTTGGAAAGGCTTTGATTTAAGCCCTCAACAGATTTTGTTTCTTTCTCTTGGATCGCTGTTCCTTTGGACACTGGATTTGGTACCAACTTCCTCGAGCCACGACTGAATTCTCCATCTTTTAATCAGGTGCGCGTTCCATAATGTGCTAGCCTGATGAAACGAGCTTATTGCAGGTCTCGTTTAATGGCGGGATTGGCAGCTTGGTTCTAGACACAATTGGCCACACATTCAGCCAAAGATACCATAACAGGGTTATCCAGGTGTGACCGTCTCTTCATTTGATCCTAGTCTACTTTCTCCTGAGGCCGAAGCATTGCACTGACTTTTGGTATATAGATTGATGCATCTCTTCCTTTTGTTAATCTTAAAATGCACGTAGAGATTGAGAAACTGAGAGGTAAAAAAGGGGGTATGTTGAATCAGAAAGTAAAACCTGTTTACCCAAGAATAACCTCATATTTCATAGAGAAGGCGATCAAATGAATGTGAAGGCATAACCGGGGATCCATTATGAATCTCCTGGATAAGGCACCCAGTTTTATTTGTTGTATTCTGAAATTGCTGGAATGCAGCATGAAGCTGGTCATTTCTTGGTTGCCTACTTGGTGGGCATTCTTCCTCGTGGATACACACTCTCGAGCCTTGAAGCTTTGCAGGAAGAAGGCACTCTCAACATTCAAGCTGGCACAGCTTTCGTGGATTACGAATTCCTCGAAGAAGTACTCCATTTCCTTCCCTCTCTTTTCTTCTGTCGAAATGGCTGAAATCATCATCATCAACTCATCAGCTCGATTAATAGTTTTCTTCCAACCGCTTGATCTAAAAATTTCAGGTTAATGCGGGGAAAGTATCGGCCACTGTAAGTTTTCTTTGCTTGCTCATTACCATATCTCCTTAGGATCCCAACCCAAGAATCCATTTCTCTTGAAAAGCAGATGCTGAACAGATTCTCGTGCATAGCTCTTGCTGGTGTTGCAACTGAATATCTCTTGTATGGATACGCTGAAGGTGGCCTCGCGGATATAAACAAGGTCCCTCTCTCTCTTATTTCGCAACCCGAATCGCTGAATTTTCATGTACTTGTCCATGTTCACATTGTTTGTCTCTAATGAATGAAACAACAGTTGGATGTGTTGCTCAAGAGCTTGGGATTCACACAGAAGAAGGCGGACTCACAGGTGAGATGGTCAGTTCTAAACACCATACTGATCCTACGTCGCCACGAGATGGCTCGGTCTAAGCTTGCAGAGGCAATGTCCGAAGGCAAATCTGTCGGATCTTGCATCGGAATCATCGAAGACACCATCGATCACTCCGACATCTGAAGTTTTTCGTCCACTCTATCGTAATCCGTCGGATCTTTATGACACAAGAAAAAGGCAGAAACCTTGCATGAATCTGAATCTCATCTCACCCATTGTTTTGGACAGAGTTTGCATCACAAGAATCTGGTTAGTATCTCTACTGTTTGTTCTTCGCTGCAGACTTGTATATATATATATATATGTGTGTGTATACGTATATATACACCCATGCCCAGGGCCGTAGAAACAGAAGGGTGTTGTCTCTCTCCGTTGTAAAAAGAAACAATGAGTGACCTTTTTCCTTGTCTGTGTAATGAAGCCGCAGCCGCTCTTGTTCCTTATGGTCTGTACTCTGTAATCTCTGTATGAGAGTCGCAATGTATTTTGTTGATTTTAACTATTTTTTTGAATAATGCAAATGATGAAGGGGAAAAACTAACTTTTCCATATTAGAAAATTCTAAATTTTATAATTAAGAAGATTCACATATTAAATATTAAACTTTAACCAAATTTTCAAATTAAATACTCAACTATCTCACTTCTAAATTAAATATTACTATATTAAAATTCACAAATAAAAACTAAACTTTTCAAATTTTAACATATATCTAAGGAATAATAAAAAAAAAAACCCTTTACTTTTTTTCGTCACAGTTTAAACCCTATACTTTTTTTTACCCCAAAAAACTCTATACTTTTCAAAATTTTAAAAATTATACACATTCATGTACACATATTAATTATTATAAGCACAAAATCAATTACACATTTATTTTCTATAAAATTAATTGCATATTTATTTTATATATTTATATTTATATATATGTTTTATATATATGTATGATATATGTATTTTTTCCTAAAAATCATTATATATATAAGAAACTATTTATTATTTGTATATTGTTTTATATATAATAAACTATTTTCCAAGAATATGTTTTTTTGGACAATTGAACTCATATAAAATAATATACAAATAATAAATAGTTTCTTATATATATAATTATTTTTAGGAAAAAATATATATATCACACATATATATATAAAATATATATATACATATAAATATATAAAATAAATGTGAAATTAATTTTGTAGAAAATAAATGTGTAATTCATTTTGTGCTTATAATAATTAATATATGTATATGAATGTGTATAATTTTTAAAATTTTGAAAAGTATAGGATTTTTTGGAATAAAAAAAGTATAAGATTTAAATTGCGATGAAAAAAAGTATAAGGTTTTTTTTTAGATTATCTCTTAGATATATGTTAAAATTTGAAAAGTTTAGTTTTTATCTGTAAGTTTAAATATAGTTGAATGTTTAATTTAGAAGTGAGATAGTTGAGTATTTAATTTAGAAATTTGGTTAAAGTTCAGTATTTAATATGTGAATATCTCTTATAATAATTAGTATTATTATTTTAAAATTTTGAAAAGTATAGGATTTTTTGGAATAAAAAAAGTATAGGATTTAAATTGCGATGAAAAAAAAAAGTATAAGGTTTTTTTTAGATTATCTCTTAGATATATGTTAAAATTTGAAAAGTTTAGTTTTTATGTGTAAATTTAAATATAGTTGAATATTTAATTTAGAAGTGAGATAGTTGAGTATTTAATTTAGAAATTTGGTTAAAGTTCAATATTTAATATTTAATATGTGAATATCTTTTATAATAATTAGTATTATTATTTGTCATGTCAGTTTTGATTTTCCTTATAATTACGAAAGTTAGCGTGGTTCTTTGGCTTTAATTGATATATGTGGTTGGTTGGGAAATAAGAAATTTCAATCAAATCCCTAAATATTCCATTGGTTTGGTCGAAGAAAGTTTTTCACCGGATTAAAGCTTCCACCTTTGGTGGAAATTTTCCCAGGAAACAAGCAGAACGGTAGAAGGATTCAGAGAAAACGCGAGAAAGAAATAAACTTCTTCTTCGAAAGTTGATACCTCCATTAACCCACGGTCGTACTTCTCGTTTTCTCACTTGGGTCTAGGGAAAAACCAGAAAAAAGCTGCCCGAGTCGCAACAATGGCGGTTCAGTGGGTTCTGCTGTGTCACGGGTTGGTGACGTTAACGGTGGTCGTCTCCTTCCTTTGCGGCCGATGGCCCATCTTCAAGAACACACCAATTCAATGGATCCACCATTTCCTCACTTTCGGCGCCTACGATTACTTCCTGTACTACTCATTTCAACCTCTCTCGTCATCTTCTGTATTTCAATTTGATGCATTCGTTTGATTTGGATCGATTAGTTTTGTTTCTTCTCTTTTTCTGATTCTGGCTCTTTGGCGGATGTTCTTGCAGCCGCTTTGTCGGGGTGGTGTTTGGTTCGAAAGGTACGGAGGCGATTTTGTCGGTGGAGTATTACTGCTGTGATCGGCCTAATCCTATTCTGCAAGTGAGTAGTTCTGCGTCTTGTTTGATTTTGTGAACAGTTTGATCCACGGTTAGATAATTCCTCGAGGTCTCTTCGGTTTGCAATCCATGTTTGGAAGTAGAAATTTCATAGATACAGAAGCTTAGAAGTAGTGAATTGTAATGAAATTAGTTGGTGAGCATTTTTTGAGCAGAAGGTTTCTGATTAGAGGGCTCGTGAGTTGTGAATGTGGGCGAAGCTCAATTCTATTCTGCAAAGGTGATTCCTTCATATTCCTGATTTGGGATTCAGAGAGCCGGTGATTGGATAGAATGTTCAGGATCAGAGCATTCAATTTCATGAAAACTGTTCTATGTTAGAGGATTTGAATGTTTTATATGTAATCGGACTGGTTTCTAGTTGCTTTGGGTTAAAGGACTCTTTGGAGCTACTCCATTGGCGAAATTTGGATTTTTGATTTGTTATTTCGGATATTTCCCACAAACTGAAGTTCAAGTGACTAGTCATACACTAGAGCTGTGAGCTACGAATGAGAACATAGTTTGAGTTTTTGCATGAAAACATAGCTAATGGTCATGTCTGGTACGGAGTTCTTGTCAACTTCTGTTTCGTTGAGAGTATTTGTAAATCTTGATTTTTCGGTGTACGTGCTAGCAGGTTATAGTTTTAGTGTTTGAAAAAAATTTCATGCAGTAGAACAAGAAGTTGTTTATTCTTGCCTCTTGTGTTTCCCCATCTCCATGTTCTTACAGCTTTGTGCTAAGGTTTCAACTTGGGACCTTTCTCTCTTCAAAACAGATTTCTATAATAGTATTTTCTTTCATTGTAGATCATGTATCTCGGGATGATTGGATTAACGTACTTTGCGATTGCAAAATCTTCCTTCACCTATCTTCCTGGACACTATATCGGCGAAGTTCACAAGTAAGGCATGGTCCGGCATGTTTTTTGTTTTTCTTTATGTATATGCAGCATTTCCAATTCCTTTTAAATGTACGTACTTTCCTTCATTGTCCCCTTAATTCGTCGAATTTTATTTTGTAGGTACACAAGCTTTCTGGCTGTTATTATCGGTATCACCTTTTTCATATTGACAAGCTTTTCTGATCCAGGAACTGTGAAGCCTCGGAATGTTTCACAGTACATTTCTGCTTACCCTTATGACGATATTATATACTCGGAGAAAGAATGTTCTACGTGTAAAATCCCGAAGTGAGTACATCAAGATCCTGTAGTAAAATAGGAAAAGTGGCCCCCTTTTACGTTTATTCAATTTATGATTTTTCTACTCCTCTTTCCCGATACAGACCTGCTAGATCAAAGCATTGTAGCATCTGCAATCGCTGTGTGGCCCGGTTTGATCATCATTGCGGGTGGATGGTCTGTACAAAAAACCCGCACAGATCTTTTTTTTTTTTATCTCAAGTTCTTCTGGCCCCCTTCTTGGGTTAGGTATCGAGATTTTGCTTGACATGAAGCTTTCTCGTGATCACAGAATAACTGCATAGGAGAAAGAAATACAAGATACTTCATGGCTTTTCTTTTATGGTGAGCTTTCATTTTGAAGATATAACAAATAAGTCGTCTTTTTCTCCCCGGGATATGCCATATCATATTCTTAGGACTGATCACTTAGAACTTGTTTTATACGCCATTTTTCTGAATTGGTCGTTCTCGTATTTTCCTTCCTGTAGAATACGGATTCTTCCTCATCGTGTTTCTTTGTTTATGTTAAATGGTTCTTTAGTGATTTGTAGGCATTTCCTTCTTTGCCTGTACGGAGCAGTGGCCATTGGATTGATTCTTGCAGGGCGACTGAAAGAGCTCCGTGTTGTACATATTTTTACGGGTAATAATAGATATATACGATTATTTTTTGAGTTTTTTTTCATTTACCAAAACCTCTTCTTGTTTCCTCTGCAGTATATTACGGGATAGACGATTCTTTCCGTAGCTTAGCTCCTCTGGTTTTACAGGCGGGTGAACCTAAACCATTATCCATCTTTGCTTCATTGTTCTGTCGCATAGCAATCTTCTCAAATCCTGAAATCGTTTTCTGTGGACAGTGGCTAATGGGTTCATACAATACCCAGATACTTGTAATGGTGTTTCTCGCCATTGTTTCTCTCCTTCTTGCTGGTTTTTTCGGTTACCATGCCAATCTCTGCCTATCCAACACTACCACCAATGAGGTAAATCCGTAACCATCGTTCCTCGGGTTATGCGTTTTGGTTTCTCCCTCGCGGGTCAGAGAGAATCGTATTGTTCTGGTGAATGCAATGGTGCTATTATGACAATGTCGGTTCTCGTTCTCGCCCATTTGTTTTCATGTAGACATTCAAGTGGAACGAGTACATAAGCTGGCAGAAGAAGCTAAGCGAAGCAAAGGCGAGCGCTGCGGCCCTGAAAGGAAACATCCAGGGCTCGGCCACCGAGCCAGATCCTCCAGAGAGAAAATGCAGAAGATCTGCTGCAGTTGAAGCCATTGTCGTGCGGAATATGTACGACAGAGGAAGCTTGTCCAACGTTTCCGAGATTGTGTTTCCGTTGTCCTCAAGACCGTCTTTTCGGAAAGCAAACCCTAAATCCGATTAGTATTTTTTTCCTGACGAAAGCTTTTTGGTTATGGTCAGTTTGTTTCGTCTTCATAAGATATCATGTGATGACATTGTGTTCGGTCCAAACTTCATTTGTCAAAGCTGTCTCCCATACTCCGACCAATTGGTTTGAAACTATTTTAGCACAAAAGTTGTAACCTTTGTATCTGAATTCTAAAGATCTAACATTTGATTTCAGGAAAGACCTGTAACGGATACGATGTTTAAACAGATTATACACTGACTTGTACATCCTGTCAGGCCAAATCCTGTAAACTAGGGTTCCTGGGTTCAGAACTCAATGTCGAACCTGTGCCGACCCGAGTTCCGGATGCCTTAAATGTTCGGATGTTTACGAGTTAGCTTGCTGGTTTGGTCGAGTCCGAAGAAGGCAAATCGGGTATGGATTCTCATACTCCGACACCTTCATTCGAACCCAAACCCATCATCCTATGGATGAATACCCAACTCATGGATCGAATCGAGTATCCGATTTTCGGGATTATTTGGCCAGTATGGTTTTGTATACACATTGATACGTTATATTTCTACGGTCATCATCTGACTTCGCCAAACTAAACTGATGATACATTCCTACAATACACAAGATAAGACAGTCAAACAGACAAGTGGGTGGATGAATGAGGATGACCAATCAAACGATGGCGACCACTATATAACATACAGTTCAGTATCAGATTGAATACATATACATATGTCCCAGTAGAAAGATTCGAAACAAAGAGATAAGAAGATAATAGAAAAACAAACATTTACATTAAAAAAAAAAGAGAATGAGAATTAGCAGTGTGTTTATACTGTAGTCTTACTTTTTTCAGAAGAAATGATAGAGATGAAGCTGGGTTGAGGTTCAGTGTTGAAGCCCTTCTCTCAACTGTTGCCAGAGCTGTGACTCTATGTTCATCTTCCTCAACTCCATCAGCCCCCTTTCAACTACACACAACTCAATATATAGATCAGATTTAGCAAGTGAGCAGCTGATAGATCCGAGATGGGATCCATCGGGAAATTAACGAGAAACACCAACAAAAACGATAAAATTCAACGCTAATGGGGTTGGACCCCATCCAACGTTCGAGCCTCCCAACATTTTGATGAAATACTTCTTGCTAAATAGAAAAAAATGCAGTTTTCTCCTTATATAGGAGGTAAAATAAAATTGGGTTCTATGGGAAACTTCCAAGCCTGTTCGTGGAAGCGAAATACGGCCAAAAAAAGAAAGAAAGAAAAGAAAGAGAGAAAGAGTTACCGTCAACTGCATCTTGAGAGGAGGAAGAACGAGCGCTGTGGATAATCCAATACTGCAGACGCTCAGCTGCGATATCAGGTTCGATGCCATGATTCTTAGCTCTTCTCCAATAGTACATAAGCCATGCCTGTTCAAGATGGCATTGAGTGCTCACATGGAATTCAGATTGAATATGGAATGTATAACGCAAGACGCCGATTTTACCTGTTTAAACCGCACATCTTCCGCTTCCTCTTCACTTAACCCTGATATCATCAGACACATGTTCACATTATATAAACGAAAACACATAAGAACAATGTGCAAAAGAATCTGGTGAGTTTTGTCCTTGCTCTGTTTTGTGTGAAATATGGTGTGATTGACATCTATAGTACATATCGAGATACCCCATATGATCTTATTGGATATCTTTGAATACGTTTTGGCACAAGCAAGATGCATCATATTAGTAAAAAAAGGGCTCCTCTTATTTCAAATAGTTAAAAGTTTCTAGCAGAAATGTCTCTACAAGATCCACTATTAAGTAACCATTTCTAAGTCGTCGGAACATTTTGGGTGTTCTAATTTGTTTTAAACATGTATAGGCTTCACGAATGAGATCATTATCAGGGTTATTAAAATCATGCAGCTTACCAAAGGCTTCGAACAGTCCATCCGCTGGGAGTTTCACTTCATCTACCAATAGTTAAAAGGAAAACAGGAGAAAAGATACGAATTCAGATAAAAAGAAAGAAATACAAGTTATAGCAGAGAACATGACATAAAAAAACAAATACGGGATCTGTGAAATTTGGTTACGAATATACGTTAGTACTCCCGGTTAGCCTCGATACTGATAAATAAATGAAATCAAAGCATAAGTCAGGTAACTTCTTTCAAGCAATAGATTAATAGAAGATTTATCACCTGAAGTACTAGTTTTAAATGAAACCCGTCGTCTTTGATGAGCCATAGCAAATGCCACTGCATCCTGAACCTTTAGACACAAAAGAATGACCAAGAAAAAAACTTCTAACTGTCTATCATCCAGTCATCGTAGCAAACCCTTGCTTCCGAGAAAGAGAGCACACTGATCTGATGAGTACTTCTTATGTTGCTTACCTTCAGTGAAGCCAGTTCCCGCAACCCTTTCTCGACCAATAACATGTTTTCGATGTTTCCCTCTCCATAAGTTTCAGTTAAACCTTGCAATGATTTGTCTTTTTCATCATCGGTGTTATCAGCTGCTCCACGTGAAGTTTAGTGGGTAAGAATAAACAACGCTTTGGAAAAAAATCCAGCAAGAGAGCAGAACAACTTCACAACAGTTTTCTATGAAATATTGCAAATTCATGCGTCCAAATGAATTATTACTTGAAGAAAACCCCTTCCGAGCCCTTTGCCCTGCAGACAGAACACTCTCAAGAGGAAGAGGGGCAAAAGATGACCAGTATTCATGTTTTGCTCCAGCAATATCGGGTTGAATACCTGCCGAAACAGTTTTCCCAGATATAAATTAGAAATGAGCCAACAACCTCTGTTTTACAAAAATCTGCAGTGAGTGAAGGTTGTCAATTAGATGTTCCACAGAAGTTTTAAGCAGATTATCCTCAATATCTAAGCGTATTATAATCTGAGAAAGGGCACAATTACCATGCCGAACACATAAGCTCCAATACCGTGAAAGCCAGCACCTCTTCAAAACAACCTCTTCCTAACACACAAAAATCGATAGATAACACACTATTTGACTAACTAACTAGATTAAAATCAAAACTATGCACCATTAATTGACAACTTACCATCTCCTCCTGATTCAATAGCAATCTCTTGGTCATGGCCTTAAGAGGCTTAAGTTCTGATTCAACTTCATGGAGCTGCTCCATAGCAGATGTTACCTCGTCCCTAGCAAGCTAAACCATTATTCAAACACAACTTTAATATCAATTCAGATACCACAGCTACTACATATATATATATATATGGAACCTTTACAATCACGAAACACAACAATCAAAGAGACAATATATAAAATTGAAATACCTCAGCTTCTGTTTGAAGAGCGGAAATGTTTCCACTCCTTCCTCCATGAGTGTGTGCTGCGATTCTCAAAGCAGCCTGAATAGAAAGTGTTGCTGTGGACTATGTTAGTTTTCATATGTTTACATGTGACTCAATACAGCATCAACATCCTTGCAAGCATTTGTTTTTTACAGAATTGAGCCGCCCATGAAAATCATCTACCTGAGAAAAGTTCCATAGGATATGCAAGAATTCAAAGAGATGCACAAGAGAGGTTTTCAAATCAAATGACGAATTGCTTCGGCCTTAGCAGACATAGCCAAAGAATGATCATGAGAGGCAAAGAATATCATACCCCATAGATATACGCTAGACAATAAAACAAATTCTAAGCAATTATCCAAGGGATACTGAAGGACATCCAAGGACAAACCTCCCTTTGTTGCAGAGCAGCCTCCTTCCTGATGACCGAAAAGACATTCACAAAATTAGTGTATGCCCAAAGCCATCCCAAAGTTAATATGTGAGCCTTGCCTGCTTAAAAGATGAGCGTCCAACGTAACACCTTCTCCAAGAATTTCAACCTAACAAAAGTGATTTTACTTAAGCATACTTTAAAACACAGAGGCGAACATATTCAACCTGCAACAAGATAAATAACAGCATTGAATGGGAGGCTGAATTATCACAGAGAACATGGGGGGAATATCCATTGAAAACTTACATCTGAAAAATGTTAAATGGTTAAATAAATATCGTATATGCTTGATAATAATAATAACACATGGGTTTCTTCCAAATTGGTATCTGGAAGCACTGCAACAACTCTAACCTTCATGCTTTACTGATATTTACTTTTCTACTCACGTATGTAGCAAAAGCGTACCTGCTTCTCCAGTTGCTTAGCTCTTGTCTCTGCTTCTTTGAACCTCTCTTCTGCAAGCCGAAGCTGGGGATGCGCAAATTACGACGGTATGGAAACCGTAATATTGGAATAATGAACGTAATATGAGATATCAGTAGATAATACTCTTAACTTCTCAGTGAATCTGCCAAATTCAGACAGAGATACTATATGTTCTTTTGTGTCAAATCAAATTAATGGTGTTGATCTCAACGGATAGTGCTTGTCTAAATACACTTGAGAGGACAAAACATTAAAAGGCCTTGAGGTACTTCATCAGTTGCTTCAGTCCACAATTTACCAGAATGAATGCATATAAATATGCCATAAAATCGAATAGAGGAACTAACACCTAATGATACCAAGTGAGAAAATTTAGTGCCATCACCTTTTCCAGTAAACTTTCATTTTCTTCCTGTAGCATATCAACCTGCAATAAAAATGAAACCTCGTGAACAGACTGCTCGAAAATAATTGGTTGGCTGTAGCCAAACAAGTTGAGAATATATTAGCACAAACAATCAATAATGAATTTAGACAAATAATCGAAAGTTCAAAACCCCTAACGTAAAAAAAATATCCCAAAAAGTTTGCAATTAAAAGAAACGTAATTTATGAACTTCAAGAGCTAATTTTATCAGCTTCCGAGGAGGTCAAACCTCATCTCGCAACACAGAAGCAGAGTGTTGACTCCCTAACTCTCTCAGGCTGTTTGAGCTTCCAAAGTCCAGGGAAGAAAATCTACCAAATGGATAAAAGCCACTGTATAATTACCACTGTGGAAATAATTAATTAGGATAATCTGTCTTTGGTACAATTAAAGCAGAAGCAAACTCAGGAGATGAGATGGCAGAGAATTCAATCCAGCCTTTCCAAAGGTAACGCTTAATTTTCATATGTTAAACCTAGAGGAAGATTTTCTATATATATGAGCAGAAGGCTTGCATGAGATGCAATGCGGACATACAACTTCAAATGAAATGAACAAAGCATGACGGAAACGAGAATCTGCTTTTAAGACTTATTCAATTAAAATTCAGGCTATAATTTCAGTTACCTTTTATCTTTACGAAGATTAGTAGGTGTCTCGGTTTGGGATACAGAAGTTACTGGTTTGAAGGATATTGACACAGTAGGAGCAGGCATAAAAGGAACACTTTTCGCTGGACGGCCACTGAATGAACGAGCTGATGGAGATTGCTCCATTGGGTTGTCCATTTGAGATGCATGGCGTACTGAACTTGAAAGAGCTGAAGATGGCTGTTCTATGTTATCTTTAGATATTGATGATGGTAGGCTAACTGAAGTCGGAATTCCAGACTGAGGTTGTTCTTCTTTGGTGCGAACTGACTAATAGAAATTATATCAAGTTTTATAGAACCATTAGACAGATTAAAATTGAAAAAAAAAACAATAATTCGATAATAGAGATACAGATGTGCAAAACATTAATCCGACAATTGGTGCATATGCAGAAATCTAATGAAATTTACCAATGGAGTGCGGGATCTCATTGACCGTCCACCTGCAAGTCCTATACTTGGCCGGCCACTTGTATAGTTATATGTCTCATCATTGTCTTCATCAACTCGTTGCTCAGCTATTGTTTGAGGATGTCTCATTGGAAGGGTTTTGGTCTGCATGGTACCATAGAAAATTCAAAATGATGTTTTCAAACGAAACAATATAAGAATATCATACAACAATACACCTAAATCTGAAAGTTCATCAAATTCAACAAGGACATACATACTACATCTTTAACTGACACACATATGCAAGACTTCATTTAAAAATCTAATTACCACAGGAGAGTGCGACCGGATTGTTCTTCCACCCGAAAGTCCTACAACTGGAATGCCACTTGAATAATTGTCCAGAATTTCATCGTCTTCATTTTCTTCATCAGCTGCCTGTTGAACAACCATCTGTGGACGCCCCTGTTGGATTTTGCTCTGTGCATTTCCACAGTTTAGTATATGAAAGTCATTACAGTTGAACTCTGAGAACAGACAACACAAACACAGTAACTAGTCCACGAAGGAACAAATAAGCTTCCATTAACGGCCAGTACCATAGAAGATTGCGGTCGCATTGCTCTTCCACCACCAAGCCCGATACTTGGTCTGCCAATTGTATAATCGATTGAAAGCTCGTTATCATCATCATCATCAGCATCCTTAGTCTCTTCATTAGCTGGCTGTTGAAAATTCATCTGTGGACGTTTCGGGGGAGTAGTTTTATTCTGTACCGAAGGAAGGTTAACAAATGAGAACAAAGATACACTTGGCATGAGGACAAAGTTCGATAATACTCACCAATATAGGAGACTGAGGTCTTACTACCCTTCTACCAGCAAGCCCAATACTTGGCCTACCGCTTGTATAATCAACTGAAAGTTCATCATCTCCATTGTCATCATCACTTGGTTGTGAAAACGTCATCTGTGGACGCCTTGGATGAGTTGTTATATTCTGTAGTTCATAAAAACAACAGTATCAGAAAGCACATTTCAGACCGAATTCCTACACACTGAGAAACACCTTGAAGCGTATTTCCATTGCTAAAAGGACTAATGAGAGAAGCAAGATTTTCGAGCAAAAATTTAGAACAATTTTGAGTGATGGTGGTGAGATGAGAGTGAGTGAATCTTGAAAAATCATTAGACTAAATTCATGGCCTGAAAAGGCATCAAGAAACTATTAGTCAGCTAAAAATAGTGACTCATCATTCGTTAACGAAAAATATCAGAGCTAATTGTGAAGTCAACAACAGTGTTAATCATTTCCTCTGCATCTGATAAAAGCGGGTGAAGAACAAAAGCATTACCACTGGAGACCGAGGAGGAACATATTTCCCGCCTCCACCGCTGTAATCAAAAGAAAGGTCATCCTCACTGTCGTCCTCATCGTTTGTTTGGTGTGCCATCACAGCAGCGAGCCTCTGAGCCGCTGCTTTCGTCTGGGCTTTCCTGATGCTCGTTCCTGGTCCGGCTGTTGATCCAGACCGCATATGGCGGTTAGTCAGAGGAGAAGACATCACCGGGGATGATGGTGCCCTTGAATTTTCTAAGATCGAGCTCTTTCTCCTGACATGAATTGGCCTTGGGTTCTCCATAAACTGCCACAGTGATGAACATCAAAACAACGAACACTGGTTGAGATTTGTACAGTCAGATTATAAATCAGACTTAATCAGATTGATTCTCAGTGTGAAGCTGCTTCAACAATCCATTTGTGCCCTAAAAACCTTCTTCATATGAATATATCATCATGAGCAGTGAGGATAAAGATTCGACTAAAATATGAAAAGTTCGACCATAAATCAGAAGAACCTCGATCATATATCAAAACAGAAACAGAAACGAGAAGAAAACTTGCGGGATGAGCGATTCTCAGAGGAAATTATCTCCAAGAACCCATTTGCAACTGAAGCTGTAGCCCCACGAACCCATCTCGAACCCTAGAAAATCACAGGAAAGGAGAAGCCATATCTCAAAATCTCAATCCAAATCGATTCTATCAGACATAAAAAAAACCGCCTTGGAGTAGAAATTAAGTATTCACAGAAATCGATTGTTCAAGATTACCGGTTTCATGACTCCCTACGACAAGAGTTTAACAAAAAAAAAAAAGATTACCGGTTTCAACAATGATATTGCGACGAAAAGCTCATCGGCGTGAATCGAGTTCTCTACGAAATTCGATTCAACAGAAGTTTCCAGGAAAGTTTCAACTGGGTAACCAAAGACCAAAATCGCCATTTTTGGAGCGAATATCTCTCACAAACGATCCGTCCGTTTAGCCAGAAATGGCGACAAGCTTCTTAACGGTCAGATTTTGGAAGGACTCAGTTTTCTGAATTACATTTTCCTCCCCATAGTTTTTGTATTTGCTTATATACCCCATAACCTTTTTATAATTACATACAGTTACCCCATTATCTCGATTTGATCAGGGCATGACTTTTGGGGTAGGATCATACGGAACGAATCCTCTCTCCCGCCAGCAGAGCTCTTCAATCTCAAGATTCTTCTGGAATTAGGGTTTTCTGGTATACTCCATGCTTTAGCTCAACGTACTTTCTGATTCATACCACTGCGGAAATGCGAGTTCTTGGCGACATCGCGGATTCTCAGTTTTCGATTCCACGGCTAAGCCCTAATTCGACGGCAACCGGAGACGGACGCAGCGGATTTATAGTGGAATGGGTCGACAGTTGCCATGGGTTCTTACATAACTCGGTTCTGGTGTCGGCTTCTCTTCTCTTTGTCGCTTATTTAGCGTACGAGGCGAAGAAGAGCTTGTCAAAGCTGTCGAATCGGAGATCTTACATCATGATAGCTTATTACGCTTGTCTTTGGATCGTTAGTTTGCTCAATCTCGCTTGGTGTTGCCTCCAGGTTCGTCGACCATTTCGTTTGACCCAGTTCGTGAGTGATCATACGTTGCTTTAGGGTTTAATCCTGCGTATGAAAGATCGGAGCTTTGGTTTTTGCTATATGTGGGTTCAGACTTGTAGAACTGAGGTTCTTCTGGTAATAAGCTGGTTAGGAGGAGGATGACTTTGTGACATTTTCCGAGGACTGTAGTTGCAGTAGATCTTTCCATGTAAAGGATGTATATCATGGGTCTGAATCAGTGATACATTAGAAAAAGCCTGATTCTATGTAAAGAATACATATCATTGGTCTGAATCTCTGGACGCTGTCTCATACTTGAGATGTTTTAAGTAACATACAATGAATAGTACGATCTATTTTTGGCTTGAATGTCTGTCTAAGTGACTTCTAGGTTCATATTGCACATCTTGAATGATCATTATTTGGTGGTGTTTCCTTATCTGTATGTTGTCTGATGATGAGTTGGTTGAAAAATGCTATACATGTAAATCCTATGTGTTAAATTGATCTTTAACATTCTAACAAATTATAGGCATGGGAATGCACTCCTGGGAAGGAAGTGATTTGGAATCTATTATCTCTGTTCACGACATCGGGAATGCTATTTCTGGAAGTAAGCTTGGTGGCCTTTCTCTTCCAAGGTAACTATGCAAGCGGAGTGGAAGCACTTACACGAACTTTTCTCATCTCGGGTCTTATTGTAGGCCTCGATTTGCTCTTCAAGGTATCGTCTTTTTCTTAACTGCTACATGTTTCATACCCTATCTATTCATCTACCTTGTTAAAGAACAAAGGATCTTGGCCATTTCTGATTGGCATGCTTGCTTGATTTTCATGATTTCTGCAATACTTTCCAATCTTTTTCCATTATCTATTCATCTACCGGGGGGTTTTGATTACTTTCAGGCAATTTACCTATTTGGGTTTGGTGTCCCGTTGTTTATAGACAACACTGAGAATATACAAAAGTTCAAATGGGGCTTATGGGTCATTCACAAGCTGCTTCTCACAGGTGTTTATGGGATGATATTTTTCATGTACAACTCTAAATGGAGAGAAAGATTACCGGGTAAGTTGATCAAACACTCCTATCTGCTTGTAGTTCTGCAGGCTGCAAACACACCGGTTTTAATCACTAATCATCGATCTTTTCTTCGTTTTTCTACAGCAAGACCTGCATTCTACAAGTATGTAGCCATCATGCTTGCCTTAAAAGGGCTCTCTCTGTTTGCCTGTGCACTAACAGCGAATGGAGCTAGTTTCGGATTCTGGTAATATTATTTTGCGAAACTTCCCATCCGAAAGATCCTGTGGTTAGAACCTATCCGCCTTTATAACACAAAAGTTTGAAACTTTATGCAGGTTGTATGGGATAGCAAGTGTTTGCTACCATGCCTTCTATCTTCCTCTTCTGTATGTTACTTTTCTGGCAGACTTTTTCCAGGTAAACCTCTCTTCCTAATCCATATCGGTAGCGAATAATATCGAAATGTTGGTACTAACCATTTTCTCAAGGCAAGATTTTTACGTTAGATTGTTTGATGGGTGTAAAAAACTGTTGGTGAATCACTTTTGATATGATTCACAGGAGGAAGATCTGAACTTGGAGAATGTGTACTACTCAGAGATGAAGGATGCTGGGTTCTTCGACTCTGATTGGGAATAATAACAAAGGGCCGTCTCTTGATTTCCGAATCTGTAAGTAGAAGGTGAATACTGACCGACCTCTAGGGAGGGATCATGAATATGCAGCCTTTTTTGTTGTTGTTGTTGTGGGTCTAGTCCTTTTCTTATGTAGGAAGAAACTAAGGAGTCTTCTTTGTAAATCTAAAACGTAAAAAGACACTAAATTTATGAATAAAAGTTCAGGTAAAAGTGTTTGAAATGCCATAATTCAATACAGATATTGGAATCTGCGTATTAAGAAGCTATAATTATGAAAAAGTCTGAGGATTTGAATTATAACAAGTTTTAGGTGACAAATATCATATGATTAAGGCCCGACAAACAAAGAAGGCGACAAAGACGCATGCACTTGGGAATTGATACTCTTGAAAAAAAAAAGGATTTGTATTGGCTAAGCGTCCTTCTCTTTGACGAGCTCTTCGATGAGTTCTGCAGCTTGCTCCACTGTTGCAATCTTCTGGGCCCTCTCTTCCGCCATTGTTATCCCGAACTCTTCCTCGAGACCCATCACTATCTCGACCTACACCAAACCAGCCATGTCAAACACAGCCAACGTTTCATTATTCACAACGTTTGTGAAAGAATAGAATCGAGGCACAGACGGTAAGAAGATAGCTATACCGTGTCGAGAGAATCTGCTCCGAGATCGGTGAATTTGGTCTCAGCGGTAACTTGTTGACTCGCGGCGAGCGACAGTTGCTTCTTCACTATCTCAGACACTTTCTCCACCGTCTCTTGTTTGGCCTAACCAAAGAAAACCACTCCACCCTTAGAAACTTATGTTACATTTTCTACAAGTTACCGAGAATCACTAGAATAGCAGGACATGCACAGACAAGGAAGACAAAACTTAAAGGAGAACAACAACAATACCGCGCAAGATATTGTCAGGCGAGCGGGTGTCCGATGGCGAAGGTTGAAGGAAAGATTAGTCTTTCCATAGTTGAAGATTGATACCGGCTTCTGGAGACTGACTCTCACTGTTGCCTGTTCATCATTCACAAGGACAAACATTCATTGAGTCACCATTTTAACGAAACAAGACAATGAACCGGATGCTTGATTACTTGTTCATATGATATCCTTTGAATGTTTTCAATCACCACAAAAATACACAAAATGCAGGAAAATTCTTACCCATTGGATCTCATTTTTTCCCCAAATAAAAAGAAGAAGAAATTGGCAATCACTGAGCTTGGTAACTGAAAGGGAAATGTGGACTTGGCCGAATTTTGAAATGCTGAGGCATTTGCTTACAAAAGCACGGGAAAATGTCTCTTCATAACTTAGAAATCGGAGATCGAAACTACAGCACAATGCCTAAAGGTGTCTTTCCAGAAACCACAGAGTATATCTGAGAATCCTTCTGTTCGTAAATGAACGAAATCTCACGCAAAAGCTCAACCAGAGTTTCACGATATCATTTTATCCACGGTAACAAACCAATCGAGAGGCTTAAACAAAGACTAGAAACAATGGGATCAGGGCATATGATCTCAAAAGCACGAGCAAGAAATCGGGGAAAAGGAGAATCGAGAGACCACTCCTAAACATCTCCACGAGGCGAAAATAACAAGATACGCACCGGCACACGAGCTTGCATGGATACGGAGGCAGAGGAACTGATCGCCATTTTCGCTCCTCGACAGAGAGATCTGTTTGTGAAAGAGAGAGAGAGAGAGAGAGAGAGAGAGAAGGCGGAGAGCACGAAGAGTGGGAAGTTGGAAGGTAGCTAGGGTGTTTTAAAGCCTAGTCCCGCGACGAACTTTGCAAGTGAAAACGGCGCCGTTTGAGCCAATTCAGAGGGATTATATGGGCCTCAAGAAATGCCATTCTCGGCCCATTAAAAATGCTTTTCTGATTTTCCTCTAAATTATTAATTCATTTTTTTAGAAAATTAACCGTTCATAAATGTTTTAAAAAAACAAATTTCTTTTCGCTATATTTAGATTTTTAATTTTTATTTACTTATAAAAAAAAATGTTCCACATTATAACAAATTAAAAAATCCATTCCTAAGAATTTATTTAAATTAATTCGTTATTTTCTTATAAATCTTAGATTATTCAACTAATTCCCCGAAAATAATTAGAATCGTACCATAAGTGAAATATAACAGACAAATCACTCTATTTCACTCGAAACTTAACCAAAAATAGATTAAAAAACATAAATCAACAAAATGTAGAAAGAGCGTTGCATCGTATTTTTTCCCATACGGAACATTTTTACATAACAAAGAAAACAAAATACACCAAAACCAAATATACATAAATCCTACGGTTCACATTCCACTCTCAAAAAAAGAAACATTCGGAAGCCTCACAAAAGCTTCGATTTTTTAACATTAAAAAAAACAAATAATAATAACAAATAAATATTATGATTATAATATAAAAATAGTTACACACACCGAAAACCATCGGCTTGGCTAGACAGATTTTTCAGTTCGGACAAAGCTCAGTGGTCGTGGTCGTGGAAGCTTGTTATGGTCTGGTAAGATCGTGGGTGCTGCGCTCTGTCGGAGAACCGGGGACGAAGGGGACGAAACCCCGGCCGCCGAAAACGGGACGCATGAAAGCGTCGTCGAACTTTCTCCAGTAGTAATGGACTGTGTGGGTTGGGCGAGTGAGGAGGGCTCGGATGCTGTTGGGCCGAGGAACGTCTGGCGTCCCGACGAGCTCAGCAAACGAGTCCTGCTGCTCCCCGTCGAGAAGCGAGATCGTCATGGATTTCGGGGTGTCGTCGGATAACATGCTCGTCGTCGCTTTTTGATGGGGCAGTAGGAACTGTATGAGCGGTTTTGTCAGCATACCAAACACCTGAAACCCCAAAAAGAGGGAAGATGTTAACCCAAGCTGGTTTAGATGAGAATTCCCTAAAGATCGATTCCGATGGTTCGGGAAAACTCGGTATAGGTGCCAAATCGGGTGCCCTCGGCAAATTCGAGAAGATCAAAATGAAGTTTTGAGAATGCCAATATAATCGCAAACAAAAATCCTATTTCTATGAAACCGAATTTAGTGGTGGGCGACGGGCGTTTAAACCCGAGATCCACAGGTTTTCGGGTACCCATCTCACTGTACACAGGATGCGGGTACCCGACCCAATGATGCTGAATATGGGGTATAATATAACAAGGCGGGGAACCCGGATCACGGGTTTGGGTTCAGGTTCAGGTTTTTTCCGACCACAATGGTTTACTCGCGGGTAATAGATAAGAGCAAAATGATACTTATACCCCTGATATTTTAGTGTATTTAGAAATAATATCTACCTAGATTTTTGTATAAAATTATCATTATGCCCCTAAAGTCAACTCGGGTGAGTCTCGCGAGACCGGGGCCAAGATAATGCGTCATAAAACCCGTGGGGACGAACCACGAGGCCCGGTCACTCCCACCCCTAACAGAAGCAGTGTTCAAACCAGGTTAACCCGGGATGCTGAAAAATTCTAAACCAGTCACCCCTCAAAAAAAGGAGTGGACTTTATCATATTTGTAATGAAGAGAGGCAGGCAAATATCTTACCATAGTGCTGACGAGACAGACAGTTATAGTACTTGTGATCATTATCGCGTTCCCCCGCAATTCCGTATGCCCTGACCTTGTGAACTGCATCCGAGGAAGAAAGCCATTGTACGATTAAAAAAAAAATATGCAGATGCATTCTCTAATATCGGTTTTTGGTATCATAGAAGGGACAAAAACACGATTTTATTTACCTTATTGTAAGCCAGAGCCATGGATACAGCGCCTCTCATCAGACCAGCCCACCAAATCACGACCTAAACAACGAGGAAAGAACGTATTAGTAAACGGGTCTGATCCCGAAGAAAAAAAGTCGAAAAGATTCGCACTTGCTGCTTTATGTCGATTTTCTCGCTTTGGTTCTTCTTGGACAAGTTCGAGATGAACGATAATGGAAACACAAAGGCTGCTCTTCCAAGCATGACCAGACCGAGCAGGATTGAGCTCACTGCAACTGATGTTCCCGGGCTGCGAAAAACCAGTACAAAGATACAATCTTTCAAATCGAACATGCAGAAAAGAGAAGAAAAGAGTCGGACTTGTTGTCCTGGTCATATACCTGTCACTCACAAATCTCCACTTCTCGATGTCGAGGGCATCCATCCCGACGTAAAGGAAAATAAAAGTCTCGGCAACAAAGGATAACGTCGCAAAGGTATGCCTGCAATGAAACACTTGAAACTGAGTTCCTGTCTTAACAAAGGACGGGGAAACAGCTGTTCTGAGAGAACACATACTTGGTAGTTATTCTCGAGCTCTCGGTCACATTGTGCCAGGTGTAATGAGACATCACAATCCCGCAGAAAAATACTGTGAGAATACCGCTCAACTCAAATAGCTGCAACCCAAATGAAAAGATCATCGATATATTTTCGGTAAAAAAATGAATTGAATATTATCAAAACTTCCAAGGAAAATGGTGTATGAGGTTCCGTGGAATCTAACCTCGGCAAGCATGTAAGAAAGATATGCCATAAGCATCATAAGAGCAACCTCCCGATCAGTTGAGTGCCTGAGTTATGTCGTATATGCAGCATCCATTTCAGATCACATCACAAGACTACAGTTACAAAGATAAAAGACACATACTGAGCCAATAACTCACCTTCCGAAATAGAGTTTCTTGATAACGTATGCACTTATCAGACCCGTCTGCAAAACAAGTCAAGAAAATCATACATAGCAAACAAGAACCCGCATAAGATACCCGAGAGAGAGAGAGAGAGAGAGAGAGAGAGAGAGAGAGAGAGTTACGGCTACGCCCAGCAAGGTGCTTAGGAGAAACAGATACAAGAAGTTTCCGAGAAAATGCAAAGCAGCTTCATGATTAAGGTGGGAAAGGTCAAAGCTTTGGATTGCGTTGAAGAGCACAACCGACGTGGCATCGTTCACGACTCCCTCTCCGAATACAAGACTGTAGAGCAAAGGTGTATCATCCTGATTAAGAACCTGCATAGCCCAAAGACACATCAAGCTTTTACTACACTTTCAAGTCTTAATTTTTTTATGTACTTCCATGACTTTAAGACAGAACATTACCTGCAATGTGCAGACAGAATCTGTTGCAGCGAATATCGCCCCGATTGCTGAAAATTATACACAAGAAGAACAATTGAGTCTTCAAACATAAAAAAATTGAGAAAGCAAAGCACTAGGAATGTAAAACAACAATAGTTTTGGCTTTACCAAGATAATCACCCAAGTCAAAGGTTCCAAGATCCAGTTTCTTGAAAAACTGAGTTACACCTGTTTCACTCACCAGATAATAGATTAGCAGCAGACAAATCGGTGAGTTACTTAGAATTAACTTTAGAAACTCTGAGTTTCATGAAATGAGAAACTAAGTACCTAAAGTTATGATTACGCAAGAGATTACAGTCCCGATGGCTCCAAAAAGTATAATAGTCACAAAATTGCGGAAAAACTGCTTCTTTTTCACTTGAAACCTGAAATATACAGCAAGAAACATAAAACTATATGTTACGAAAAAGGAAAATTTCAAAGAGCATTTAGCGCCAAACTGGAATCGAACAATGTCCTCATTCATGAGTCATGACAGTGACACACATCAGGACCATCTATGTCCATGTGGATAAATCTAACTTTAGGTGAGCATAAGCACATAATGCCCTCTTATTTTCTCCTTCTGTAACACGTGCTTGAAAAGATACATGTAAGAAGGAGACATTGCATTACTTCCTTTCTCGCTGAGTATCTCATGGGTTACTGATGTTGGCAGATACTTTTTGAGAAACTAACTTTTTTTCAGGAGAGACCTGTGAATATACAAACGTCTTAGATCTTCCAATTTCTTTAAACTACGATATTCATTTTTATTTTTCCCTTTCTCCACTACGCAACCAAACCAAACCGAACCAAACTGAACATCTATCAGGTGGTGAACCAAAGACACATCAATAAACAAGCATCATTGTAAATCTAACAGAACAATAAACTTACCCGGCGTTGAATATTATGGGTGGTAATAGATATATGAAGAAGAGATCTTCACTGAAAACCAAAAGATGTGAGCTTTTCCCCCCACTGATCAACAAAATGACAATACCAGTGCCGAGCCCCTGCAACCCAATTGCTCGAAAGTCAGTAACCGGAGACAGAGTTTTCATATGATTGAAATAAAAAAAAAAATCCTAACTTTAGCTCTTGGATGATCCATAAAAGAAGAGTAAAGAGGTTTCCTTCTCGCTTTTCCGGTTTCAACAAGCCATACATCATATAGGTAATACAGATGAATATACATATGAAACTACCCGTATACGCCAGTTCATGGGGAATTTAGTGAACTTACAATCAATAAAGCAGTGATGGATTCGTTCATCCATCGGTTCTCCTCCAAAAGGTGGCCAATCACGATACAACCACAGAGAAGTGCGACAAATAGACTCAGTGAAACCACGGATGCATGATCAGAAGTGGACAAACCATTCAATTTAGACACTATGGAGCCGAAGTGAGATCCGAGCATTTCCATCTTCTTGATCCGCCAACTTTTACTTCCCCTCCCTTGATTAATTTCACCAAACAAGTGGATAACAAGCTATCCGGACATGAACAAGTACAATGCCAAGATATGATTCTGCAAGTCGAATGTCTCTTTTATCTTTCCGGACCATCCATGGAAACAATCTCTGAATTCATACACAACAAAACTTCAGCATGAACAAAGATATTAATAAATATCCATAGGTACAATAAAAAAAAACACCAATAAAAATGGTTCCGAAAGGAAGAAAAAAACACATCGACAACCTCGGAGCCGGCAACTTGTCCGAAAAGGAATCATTCAATTTGTGGGAAAGGGAAATCTCTACCGCTTTTAGAAGTCAGTAAGATATGTGAAGCATCGTCATCGACCAGCTAAAACCCAGAAACATTTTACAAAGAAAAAGCTTTGACGCCATAGAAAATCACCAAATCTCAAAAAGGTAATCCATGAAAAAAAGATTCAACACGCGCCCAATTCTAAAATTTCCAATTTCGGGTGTACCCATCAAATCAGAATAGAAAATTAGGTGGTAATAAACATCGAGATTGTTCCCCCCCCCCCCCTTTCTTCCCACAAACCA